CCTCTCGCCATGTTCTGTCCTCCCAGTGTTAGAGACTAAGGACGGAGTCTATGAAGATTAGTAGCCAAAATATCTCAACATCGTTGGGCCTAGTTTCTGAACAGATAAGTCGAGTTCACAAGAAACGCCGTCGACAAAACGTTCACAGTCAAAACTTCATCAAACTCGAATATGTTGTAGCTCTACTCCATGGCTACAATTCCCAAGATGAATCATGCGAAAAGGTGAAGTATTTCTTGAGCTATCAATTTCGGCGCACTAGGGGGTATGCTGCCATAGAATCTTAACTCAATCACAAAGTTCACACAAGTTCACACAAGAGAATTAGAGTAGCACTAAACCAGGTGGAAGGGATGAGGAGGACGAGAGGGAAGGTCCCAAGAGAGTCCCCAACCAAGGAAACCCCATGCCATACAATTCCCTTCCCCATAGGCAACCCAACTTTGACCTTTGTCACTATCCCAACCTCCACAATCCACCTCAACCCAACTTGGCCACACTTGCCAGCCTGGTTTGGTTTCTCCCAACCATTTGGCAGCAACTACAGTAGAAAAGACGAATTTCCCAACCCTCAAAAGTTTGTACCCCATATTGAGTCAACCCCACAACTTCCCATAGTCACCACAACCAAATATCAAAAGCATACGAACTCCAACGTTCGTAACTTTCTTGTTCGTGCTCCGATTGAAGCGATACTTGGTTCCTCGGAAAGCTCTTGAGCAGAGGAGTCACTTCAGATATCTGCTCAAGCCAAATAACATTCACACACACACACACTCAGAAAAACCAAACCGCACAAAACACAAATTCTTGCACACACTCACAACACGCATGCAACGCACGAACATATGATGGGAGGCAGACAAACGTGAATGCGAATGGTAGCATCACTCAACACCCAGGACGTCACGTTTGACGAGTCGGTACCCTACTACCGCCTCTTCCCCTACCGCACTCCGTCCCTCCCCCCACCCCCGCTCTTCTTGGTACCAGGTCCCCCCCCGGTAGACCCCCTTCCCCCTCAGGGTCTTGCCCCTTCAGGTGTGTCCCACGTAGACGCGATCGAGCCTGTCGAGGTCACTGGTGACTCTGGTGCTGCTGTGGGTGTTGAGCCTAGGGGTGCTGTGACTGGGGGTGCTGAGCCTGGGGGTGCTGAGCCTGGGGGTGCGGAGCCTGGGGGTGCGGAGCCTGGGGGTGCTGAGCCTGGGGGTGCTGAGCCTGGGGGTGCTGAGCCTGGAGGTGCTACGCCTGGAGGTGCTTTGCCTGGGGGTGCTGAGCCTCGAGGTTCTCCGGGTGCTTCGTTTCGCCGAGAGCCACTCTCCCCACAGAAGCTGCGTGAGTGGTTTGCACAGCGCTGGAGGCGTGCTGTTGGTGCTTGAGGTTCTTCGGCTGCTGAGGGTGCTGCTGCCGCGGGTCCCGGAGGTGCTCGTACTGGGAGTACTGAAGCTGCTGGGCCTGCGGGTTCGACTGGAGCTGGTGCTGCTGAGGGTGTTGGCGCTGAGACTACTACTGGCGGTGCTCCTGGTGCTTCTGGAGGTTCTGGGGCTGCAGGAGGTACTGCTGGGGGTTCTGGAGCTACTGGAGGTGCTGCTTGAGGTGCTGCTGGAGCGGGTACTCCTGCTGGGGGTACTGGTGCTGTCCCTGCTGTTTCTGGCGTCGCCACGCGGCCCCGACCGTACTTCGTTCCGCTCCTGCAGCAGGTTCTTGGTCTTACACCTTCTCCTGGTCCTCCTCCTCCTCCCTTAGAGGGTCCACAGCCTGTCTCGTCACAGTCACAGCTACAGCCTGCCTCCCCTTTGCCTGCTCCTTCTCCCTACACTGGTTCGACTGGAGGTCTTACTGAGCGTCGTGAGCCTGCGTCTCGTCCTGCGTCGCCTGTTCGTACTGCGCGCACTAGTGGTCGCGGTTCGCGTCAGCGTCCTCCTCCTGTCCCTAGCACGCACCGGATGTCTCTGCGTCCGTCCACTGCTCCTCTGCGTGCCCCTTTGCCTTCTCCTCCTGCTTCCTCTCTTCCTGCTCTTGCCGGCCTAGAGTCGGACTCTCTTCGTGCTGCCAGTCCTACTGTCACGCGTCTCCTTGCTACTGCCGTTACTGACCCTTCTTTTGAGTCTACTGCTGCGTCTGCCCTTGTTACTGAGCTCGTCGACTTTGCTGCTCGCTGTCGTCTAGACTACGCTGCTAGTCTTGTCGCTGAGTCTGAGTCTCCCTGTCCTCCGTCCGTCGGGGGTGAGTGTGCCCTTGGCACGGACGTCCTTGAGGACAGGCAGGAGGAGTTCCAGTGTCTAGCCGCCGCTTCACCTCATCTCGTGTCCGTACTGCTCACCCCTGAGGGAGACCCGGATGCACTTGACATCCCGACTCCGCGCTCTTACGCGGAGGCGATAGAGGGTCCCTACTCTCAGTGGCAGGCAGCTATGGATGCAGAGATGGCTTCTTGGAAGTCCACAGGCACCTACGTTGACGGTGTCCCCCCTCCTAGGGCGAACATCGTCAGTGGCATGTGGATCTTCAGGGTGAAGCGGCCGCCGGATTCTCCGCCTGTCTTCAAGGCGCGTTACGTGGCTCGTGGCTTCAGTCAGCGGCAGGGAGTTGACTACTTTCAGACCTTCTCCCCCACCCCGAAGATGACCACTCTTTGGGTACTGCTGCACGTTGCTGCTCACCGTGACTACGAGCTGCACTCTCTCGACTTCAGCACTGCTTTCTTGCAGGGCAGCCTGCACAAGGAGATCTGGCTGTGCCGCCCACCTGGCTTCACTGGGTCTTTCCCTCCTGGTACCCAGTGGAGTCTCCGGCGTCCAGTCTACGGTCTCCACCAGGCGCCGCGTGAGTGGCACGACACACTGAGGACTACGCTGGCGGCACTTGGGTTTGCTCCTTCCACTGCAGACCCGTCGCTGTTTCTGCGCACCGACACCTCTCTGCCGCCGTTCTACATCCTCGTGTACGTCGACGACTTGGTCTTTGCCACAGCTGAAACTGCTGGACTCGCCTACGTGAAGTCCGAGCTGCAGAAGAGACACACGTGCACTGACCTGGGTGCGCAGCTACCTTGGCTTGCAGATCACCCGGGACAGAGCACGCCGCACCATTACCCTGACTCAGTCACACATGGTGCAGCAGGTCCTTCAGCGCTTCGGCTTCACGTACTCCTCGCCTCAGGCCACTCCTCTGCCTACTCGCCACTCGCTCTCAGCTCTGCCTTCGGATGAGTCCGTAGAGTCGAGTGGCCCGTATCCAGAGCTTGTTGGCTGCCTCATGTACCTGATGACCTGCACTCGACCTGACCTTGCATACCCTCTTAGCATTCTCGCACGCTATGTTGCTCCTAGGAGACATCGACCAGAGCACATGGCTGCAGCGAAGGGGGTGTTGCGCTACTTGTGCAGTACGTCGGGCATGGGGCTAGTGCTTGGAGGGCGGAGTCCAGTGGTCCTCACTGGGCATGCGGATGCTTCTTGGGCTGACGACCAGGCTACGCAGCGGTCGTCACAGGGTTATACCTTCAGTCTTGGCTCCGGCTCTGTTTCGTGGCGGGCTTCCCGCTCGTCTTCTGTTCTCGGCTCTAGTTGTGAGGCTGAGATCTACGCCGGGGCTATGGCTGCCCAGGAGCTTCGCTGGCTCACCTACCTGCTGACTAACCTTGGAGAGCCGCCTCGTTCTCCTCCAGTCCTGTACGTAGACAACAAGGCCATGCTGGCCTTGTGTCGAGAGCAGCGACTGGAGCACAAGACAAAGCACATTGCTCTCCGCTACTTTCTTGCTCGTGAGCTACAGCAGCGTGGACAGTTGCGGCTTGCGTACGTGGCCTCTGAGGCCAACACTGCTGATGTCTTCACCAAGGCACTTGCGCCTTGTGATCATCAGCGCTTCTGCACGCAGCTGGGTCTTGTGCCTGTCTTGCCTCACTTGCTCACTTCTTGACCTTGCTTGTACTTTCACATATATATACTCTTGCTCTTGCTTGCTTAGACTCTTGTATATCTATATATGTGATCTTGCATGTGAACTGGCCTTCTGGCCTTTGAACTTGTGCTCGGAATGTGTGGTGACTTTGTGATCCACCCTGAGCTTTGCTTTGCTTTGCTTGACTGGTCTTGTGACCCTTTGTTCTCCCCCACTTTGCCTATGGGGGTGTGTCAGAACATTATAGCTTATATATATTTCTGTAGGCTATAGTGGGGTAGCCCATAAGGGGTACAACCCAATCAGGGTTTCCTATATGTACTCACTTCATTCATAGTTGAGTCATTCTCGTTCTAGTTTTCTCACCGCCCTTTGGGCTTTGGTTTCCACTAGTTGCACCAGGCACTGAATTTTTTTCTATCACTTTTGTTTAGATGGTGTAAAATGTCACTTTTGTTTTACTTTCAATGTACGATACGTTTGTTGGCTGGTTGTTATATTCAAAGTCACAACCTCACCCACATGTAACACTCCAAATCTCTTTTTAAGATCTCCAGCTACTGTTGAGAATTTGAGAATCTAGTTTAAGAATTTGAGATTCAAGTGTCTTAATTCAAGTATGAATATATCATGGAGAAACACATTCCTGACTCTATCTAGACCAAACAACCCATATTTCTGCAATTTGAGTTTAGGACTCTGAAATAACCGAATATTCCGTGGACAACTTGACTGCTATGATTTTTTTACAACTGACTATGTGCAAATAGCATGTCAAGTAGGAGTCATTTCGTATTCAAGTAGTGGGTTGGGTCGAATACTGCTAGCATAAAAGCACAAAGTTTTTCGTTTACAGGCTTGATCCAGTCTCAACCTCTTACCGTAGCTCCCCAGTGGCTCTTTTACTTCACATAGTTTTGGCTACCCAGACCAACAATTATCTGTTCCACGATATTTAGAGCATTAGATATGTCCAATAAGCTCATTGTAAATTGCTTCCCACGAGTACTTTCCATCAACTCGCACCACATTTCTGGAAGTACCTGAAAATCCTCGAGTTTCATGAATAAAATCACTCAATCAAGCTTGGGGTCTTACACCAGGCTCACCTGCATGCATGCATCCAGGAGCATGTTGGCCGGCTTCACATCGCAGTGCACAATCCGGCAGCTGTGGAGGAAGCTCAGCTTATCCACCACATCCACCAGCACCGCCAGCCTCACACACAGCGACGTGGGCTTGGCTCCTGGGAGGTCGAGGCATGGGGTAATGAAGAGGGCATGAGGAGACAAGGGTTGTGGGGCGAGATGGGCGTGGCTCATGGAAGGTGCAGTCTGGACATGGGGAGTAAAAAGCGCATTTGAGAACAGGTCTGGGGGGGTTGGCTTATGGGAGTTGAGGGATGAAGGTATCGGGGAAGAGGATCACGGAGGAATGTGAATGAGAGAATGGTGCTGAAGAGGGCAGCCCCTAAATGAAGGTGGATATCAAGGCCAGCATTGTTATGAGCTCACAAAACATTTCATGTTGCACTCACTTGCTCCTTTCCTCCTTCTTGCAATCTCTTGCTCCTTCCCTGCCTCGCACACCGACATAGTCACGCCATCCTTCACTTACTTGCTCCCATCCTCTTCCTGTCACTTGCTTATCTCCTTACCCACTCACTCACTCACTCACTGGTCATTTGGTCCCTCCCTCCCTCCCTCCCTTCCTCCTTCACGTACTAACTTTCTCACGCACTCAGTTGCACTTGATTGCTCCATACCTCCCCTTTCCCCCCCCCCCCCCCACTTCAACCCTCGACTACTTTCTCCAACCGTCGCCCTCCCTCACTCACTGGTTGCATGAGTCCACGTTGTCATTTGACGTCTGCATTGTTCCTTTATCTTGTTGTACCTTGGTTGCTCTAAAACTTATTCATGGTACTATCCCGCTTTGTTTTTACAATTTTCGCTCTGAAATGGTACAGCTCGAATGTCTTTTAACCTCTTATCCTCTTGTAATTCTGAAGTATGTAAACGCCTTATATTAACCTTTTTTAACAAATTTGATAGCTGAATCGCACCTGGCATGGTCCACTGGGAGAGATCCCCATTGGGCATGAATTGAGACACGATGATCTGCTCCATCTGCCGGGTTGCCTTGTTGTAGTCAATCCAATACCCCAGCAGAGGCACCAGTGCTGGGTGCTTTAGCTGTGCCATGGCTGCCACCTGAGAGATGGGTGAGTTGATGAGGGAGGGAAAGGTGGGAGGGCAATCAGGAAGACGAAGCACAACAGAGGAGGCTTGCATGGGGGCAAGATTTGTAGTCGTGCCATGGCTGTCACGTGGAGGGAAATAGAAAAGAGATGGGAGAAAGGGAGATGACGACGGATGAAAATGAACAAGGTTGTTCGTAGATCAAGGATTTAATCAACTGCCTCCAACTTTCATTAGCTCATCTCTGAACACTCTCCTTCGATCTCGCCTGTTTTTTTTTTAAGCCTTTTCTCAGCATTGTCAAGTGCACCTTTTCATTTCCTGGGAATCTACGCCACTCAATCCACGCTGTGGGCCTTCCTTTCACTTCTCTTCTTCCATTGCCCCAACCTCTCCCCTTCCACCTCTCCCTTCCCCATTACCCTCCCTTTCCTGTCAACTCTCCCTTCGCGACCCCACATACGAGCTTACCACTCTTATTTAGAAAAATATTGCTTTTGGATTTATAAAGGTTTTTGCAAGAGGTTACATATGAGAAAACAAGGTAAATGATGTTTGGGTTTGGCTCAATGTTGACAGCATGAGCACATCGTTTGAACTCCGAGTAAGATTGGCTTTGCTGAAAATAAGACGTTTCCCATCTTTCTCTAGCATTTGTCCTCCAGGACTCACTATTCTCCAATTTCCTATGATAATCTTAACATTTTAAAAGTTCTCTATGCAATGTTGTGCGCACCCTTTTCCAAGGATCAACAAAACAATTTACATTCTAGCCAAGCAAGCGTTTGTTCTCACAGTGCTGTCTTCTCACCTTCAATGGAGACAAACAAGACACGGTGGAAAACGGACACCTAAGGCTAAACAATGTATGATTTTCAGTTTTATGGGGGAGTTGGAGCTGTTTGAGACATCAGAGTCAAGGCGGTTTCAGGAGGTCATTAGGTTGTGGTGGTTCAAAGGCATTAGTGATCCTCTTAAGTAGAACTACAGCAAACAACCTCCCCATATGCGGACCTCTTTCATGAAGTCGTTTGAGAGCATGTTGGCACGCTTGACGGCCCAAACCACCTCGGGGTTAGTCGGGTCCACGCCCTTGTACACATCGCTGAAGCCCCCCGAGCCAATCAGGTTGACCTCCGAAAAGAAGTTGGTGGCCTGCTGGATGTCTTCTAGTGAGTACTTCTTGCACACTGGGGGAAACGAGAACGGGAGGAATAGCTAGGGCAAGGTTCAAAAATACGGTTTCGTAAAATATGGTCCGTTTTTTACAGTCATTTTTAAAACAAAACGGCCGTTTTCCTATTAGAAAACTCTGGTCACCAAGAAAACAAATGGGGAAAACAAGGTCAAACACGTTTTAGATCATGCCAGCAAGTGCACACATGCACGAAGGGGGCCACCCCCTTCGTCCTGCTCAAATTCGGGTTCAATTTGGTCCCATAAAGTGGCCGATTTGTTGATTCAGCTGAAAACACATCGCGAACCGTTTTAAACCGTTTTAAACGGTCGTTTCTTTTTTACCCTGGGGTAGGGGGAGGCAGTGGTAGAAGCAATGAGTAATTCTTGCGTGCTGGGGGGAGGAGAAGGGGGGAGCAGTAAAAGGAGGCATTGGAGTGGTAGAATTAGTGAATATACTTGCACGCTGGGAGGTGGCTGTGAGGATTCGCCACCGCTCGACAAATTTATAATTTCCATATTTTTCCTTCATCCCATTCTCCTTAACTTCCTCTTTCATTCTGTAACGCAACCAAGCTACTATATTCTCTTACATATAATAGAACATTATATTTATTTCTCTAATTTTGTATTTCGGTCACCTACTTCTATATTATACACCAACAACACCGAAAGTGACGTACAAGGCATAACTTTGCCATTATTCGCATTACCAATATGTTTGCGTGCTTAGCGCACTTGTGATTTTTTTATTTTGGAATTATGAATACGCCTTGTACTCGCTTGTAGTGCAACAACTTCGAGCGGAATATCGATCATGTGATAGAGACGGCCAAGATGATCTCTGGAAAATCATTGGTGGCTTGCTGGATCGTTGCATAGGCTACTGACGGGCAGACGTGGAGGCTGAGGAGAATGGCAAGGCAACGAGCTCATGACACTGAGACAACTCAACGTCTTTCAAATTTCAAACCAAAATTACTAAACATCCACCCACCAGACTTTGATCGGCGGAAGTAGAAGCAGATGAGGATGACGAAGACGAACAGAGCGATGAGAGCAACAAGTGCTGCAACCACTATGCCTGCTATGGCTCCTGAGGAGAGAGCACTGCTGGATGTGGATGCAGGCGCTGAGGTATGATAGGAGAGAGAAGGTAAGAGGGGAGGGAGAAGGCAAGAAGGGTGAGAGAAAGCAAGAGGGGTGAAAGTAGGCAAGAGAGGTGGGAGACGGCAACAGGGGTGAGAGAGGATGTTATACATATGGCCCTAGGAGAAAAAAGAGACCAAGGGCTTGACAGGAATCCCGACCAGAGAAGGCATGTAAAAAGGGAAAGGGAAAGCAGAAGGAAAGTTTGTGAGAGAGGCGAAGTATTAAGAAAGTGTGTGCTGGGGATGAAAAGAAAATCGAAGGAGTGCGTGAGTGCCAAAATGCGTGCAGTGAGAGACGTGGTGCAGGAGGAACAGAGGGAGCAAAAGCAGTAGGAGGCACACTAGGAGCAGAGGCGGAGCAGCCGAGGCAGTAGCTCTGGCACACGTGACAAGTGGTGTTGGGCGCAGACGAGTTGGTAGATCAAAGGGAGGTGGAGTCGGTGACAGCTGACGACATGGGATTGGCTGGCGGTGCAGCAGAGGGCAACGAGCTGGCGGGCGGTGGAGGGGCGGCAGGGCAGGTGGCATTGTCGTTGCAAAAAATGCTGGGGGTGCCATACCTGTTGGTAGGAGGGACGAGGGGGAGGAGGGGGAGGAGAAGGGGGAGGTGAGGGTGAGGTAGGAAGGGAGTTGTGCATTTGAGAGCTACATTGGCAGATACGCGTTTCGCGTATCATATGCTAGCGTACGATACGCTAGCGTATATACGCTATACGCCCTTGTTCCCGTACCAAAAATACGTGAAAAATCACTGGGCGGGCAGGGAAAACTTTTCCTGGGGCAAGTCCCGCCTTCGAACTGTGGCCGACATGGCGAAAAACTTCTTAAGGTAGTACAGTTCGGGCTCGACGAGAGTTGGGCACTATGCAAGAAGAGAATGAAATACTAGCAGTTTAGGGATTGACAAGATGTTAAACAAGTGAATGGAGGGAGGTTGGGTTTGGGATGTTGAGATGAGAAGGATGGCGTGTGGTTGGGGATGTTGGAGGGGTTGGATTTTCATTTTCTACTTGCACACAGGGGTTGGGTGCTGTGCGAGGTCGAGGGTTCAAATCTCAGAGCAGTGGAGGGGGGTATAGTACAAATGGAGAACCCCATTTGTATGGTGATTGACGCCCCATGGTATGAGTAGACGCAATACCTGCCAGCCCGATGTACATGGAGATCTCAGATCCTTGGCAGAAGCACATGGTGTGGGAAGCAGGAGTATGAGAACCAAGACAAGAAATCAAGGATGTTGATAGTGCGGAGGAAAATTCACGTGACAGGAAAGGAGCACGACGTGAAGGCAAGGAGTGTTCCGTTGCATGGAAGTCAATGCAGAAAACATGTCCACATTGTGAATGGAGAACGCTGAGGGAGCACTCTCAAAGGAGTGCAAGCAGGAAGAGGGTGCAAGGTGCACATCATATCCGAGGCAGCATATTGCTTTCTCAGTGCGTCCAAAAAGGCAGGGCCCCATGCCATATGCGATTCGTCCTGTGCTTGCACATGAATGCAGAAGAATATCTCTAATCTTTATATTCTCATCGGCGTACACACACATACACACACATAGGCCCAAGTAATTCAGGTGGGCTCCAAGTACTTCTGCAAACTGCGACACAACTCATTTGTTTGACATTCAATTATGACACTGCAATGGTATACTGCTTGCTTTCTTACAGGGAAATCAGGTTGGAGAGTGAAGCGAAAGAATCAGGGATGGGTCCTGTGAGGCTTGACCGGCTCAGATTCCTGCATAGGTGGCATGAGGCCATAAAGGATGAGGTGGCATGAGACCAGGAACCATGGTGGTCGCACATATAAAGTCACGAATCAGAAGGGACGGGAGGTTTCTCAGAATTAGGGTACACACAAGCCACGCAAGGAGTGTGGGAGAAGAATGGCGCTGCATAAGCCGGTCAATACAAGAATGAGACAAGGACGGAGGCGTGGGAATGAGGATGAGACGTTTTAGTGGATGCATGGGGCGGGCCTGGAAGGAAGGCCTAGATGGACAGTGCGAAGCGGGCCTGAAGGGGATGCTAAGGGGAGGGAATTGATGATCCCATGTGGGCATACAGGGAGGTGAGGGACGTAAGCCGACAGATGCTGGTGGGAATGGAGTCTGAAATGCCATTGTGACTCATGTCCCTACAAGGGGATTGCATTTAAACAATCGAACGGATATGGAAAACGACAGGGGATTGGACATGTGGACCGATTGCAGGATTGATTTGTTCTCTACTAAAATGATATGCTCTGTAACATTACATGTGAGAGAATGTGAAATTTAATTTTCTGCAGAGTCTCAAGAGTATTCACACAAAAAAACAAGGATGCACAATCACATGTGCATCACTCATACATTTATCAGTCACACGTTCATTTCTCACACATGCACCAATCACATGTTCATCACTCACACATGGATCAATCACATGCCCATCACTCACATGTGCATGAGCATGGTGAGACTGCTGATGGCATATGGGATGGATCCTGACAGCAAGTTACTGCTGATGTCACTGTGGCAAGCAAAGGAGAGGAGAGAGGCATGGTGAGAGGGCAATGAGGAAAGGAATGGGCAGGAGGGGACATTTCAAGTGGATTCTGACTTGATGCAGCAAAGATGAAGAGATGAAGAAGCAAATGCAGCCGTTGCGTGAGAGGTAGATAACCACCATTGAAATAGCTTAGCTAAGCGAATCTTACAGGCAGGTTAACGCTGCCAGGGATCCCAGGGATGCTGAGACAGTGCCAGAGAGCGAGTTGGTGCTGAGATCGCTGTATGAGTGGAAGGGCAAGTCAGAGAAATTTATTTGGGACGTAAGGAGAATGGGTCTGCAAGAGTGAGCAAAGAAGAGTTGTGGAGTGGTGCTGGTGAGTGGGCAAATGAGCAAACTACAAAAACCAGACTGGCGGAACATGAGTTTTTGGTAGAAGATGTGTGACGCAAACCACTCACAGCCTCTGCAGCTGCAAGAGCACACTCAAGAAGTTTGGAACGCTACCAATGAGAGAGTTGCCGCCCAAGTCCCTGCCAATGACAATTTGCCAGGGGGAATCTTTTACGGACGGTGAGGACACCGGTACCTAAGAAGTCTTGGCAATACGCATGACGTGCCAACAAGCACACAGTGAGGGAAAGCTGAAAGGAGGCCCAAAATGCAGCTGACGCCACTTCAAGACTTGAGATTTGGAGGAAGATGAGCGTTCTAAGGACTCGCAGAGAGTTCAGATTGGCAAGCAATTCAAGAGAGGGCGGAATGTCTCCTGCGAACTGGTTGGCACTCGTGTTGCTGCTTGGGAAAGCGATTGCAGGAGGTCGGTGTAAGGCACGGATTTGAGGGGAAGGTGTGAGTGGAGGTATGGGAGGGGAGGTCATGTGGGAAAAGAGTAGGTAAAAGATGACGAGATATGGAGGAGGTGTAAGGGAAAGATGAAGGAGGTATGGGAAAACAAAAATCATGTAGGTGTGTAAGCAACTCGTACAAGCAGGCAGCCAAGTCATTTGGACATTTACAGGAGGTCAAAGGGCGTACTGGGATGTGAGGGTCACGAGACTGCCCAGCTTTGAAGGCAGAGTGCCCGTGAGCTTGTTGCTACTCACGTTCCTGCGGTGCAGAGGAGGGAGGGAAGTTGTAGAGATGGAGATGTAAGCCGTACAGAGTGAGGGAAGACTCAGAGAGGGATGAAATAAATTGAACAGTCAAAGGGCGCTATCATAGTCGCTGACTGGCTGAGAGATGCAGTGGATGAACAATAGCAGCAGTCAGAAATGTTACTTGCTGCCATGTTTCTGTCAGATCTGAGTGCTTGTGTCAGAGTTCTCACAACGAGGCAAGGCTGTTAAACTACCCGATGTTGGGCGGCAGGCCTCCTGTGAAGCCGTTGCTGCTGAGGTCACTGCTTGTTGGCACCTAGGCACAGAGAACGGGGACATGGCATAGGGCACAGGGCACGGTGCATAGGGCACGGGGCACAGTACACAGAGCACATGGAAGAGGGCAGAGGGCAGAGGACACAGGGGAAGGGCACAGGGCAGAGGGAAAAAGGCAGAGGTCATAGGCACAGGGCACAGGGACAGAGCACATGGCACAGGGGACAGGGACAGAGCACAGGGCACGGGGCAGAGGGCACATGATACAGGGAAAAGGGCACACACGTCACGGGACACGGTAAATTGTATGAGGTTTGAGTGTGAGGATGTGAGTCGCTATATATCCTACTGCAAAATAACCACTTAAAACAAAACATTGCATAGTAAGTTATTGCAACATACAAAAGCATGGCTTATAATGCCACCGCAGTAAGAGAAACTGTGGGCGTTTTTGGAGAAACATGGATCTTGAGAGAGAGCTCGGTAAGTCATTAAGATGCAGTCGAAGGAGTGATTCTTCATCTATTCAACTAAGACATGATTGTAGAGCGAGAAGAGGCTGTGAATGTGAGCTTCCATGACATGAAAACAAGTGCCATACGCTGTTGTAACGTTTCTAGGAAGACTGGGCAGCAATCCCTCAAATTGGTTGCTGTAAAGATACCTGCATGTGTTTGTGCCCAACCGAGAAACACAACACATTGTGGAATGGCACACACAGCATTGCACACCACATGCCATTTCACATCACGTCAAGCCCAGCCAAAGTATGTGCTTCCATCCACTCCAGTCCATGCCATGCCGTGCATTCATTTCCGTGCCAAGCGACGCGATGTCACGCTATGGAATCAAAACAAAAGCAAGAAGGTACTTGCTGAATATACGTTAAGGCTCTGTAACGTGGCATGGCAATCAGTGATTGCCCCATACACAGCTGTTCTCCCGGATTCCTTTCAAAAGAAAAGCACAGCACAGCACAGAGAAAAGAGGATGAAAGGCTATGAGTGACACATTTGAACAAGGGGACTGACAGGATGGTGAGGGCATTGTGAGAGCTGATGGCTGCAGGCAGGGAGCCTAAGAGGGAGTTGTTGCTCAAGTCCCTGCAGCGATTATGGGATAGATATAGTGGTTGAAAGCGGTGCTTCATATAGGACAGCTTATTAAGATCCACAATACAGAATAATCTCTGTGTGGAACGAATTGATAAAATCAGCTAGTTCCTCGAAACGTTGTCAAAAGCATA